TTTTTCGTATACATTTTTATCTTTTCGCAGTTTAAAAAGCATCCATGTCTTGTTGTTTTGCTCAATCACTGCTTTTGAGACAAGATGGGGTCAACTTTACAGTATCATGAAGTAAAAGACACAATTATGATCATAACAGACATACTCTCCTGTACATTTCACTGTGTGTGTGTGTGTGTATGTGTGCGTGTTTGTATGAGTGTGTGTGTTTGTGAAAGACGGGACTGCTTCCTCTGTGCGGCTGTGATTGGCTCTCGCTTCACCACACTTTTCTCTGCACATTTGGAAACAAAATGTGTCATTTGGGTGGGTCCATACGTCATAAAATCAGCACAGGTTTTTGGAAGACTGGCTTAAATTCAACAAACATAACTTGTGGAGATTAAAAGACTATCGAAGGTGTAAAAATTATACTCAATGCAACTTTTCATATGGCTTATGACTCACCTTGGAATAAATATGGCTATACATAGGTTTTATAACTCGATGTGTTTGTTACTGCAGGGTTTGTAATGACTATAATTTTTGCTTTATGGTGGCCAGACGTCTAGCTAACCTGTGTCATTTAAATTTGCAGCCATAATGTTAATAATTTGAGCGGCTGGACTGGTCTTTGTGCAGGTAACGAAGGCGTGAGACACTGGAATAAGCTTCTTTCTGCGGTCGACCACAGAAGTCAAACTGTGCTGAGTGGAAACTACAGTTGATGATATGCTCTGGATGCTATAGACTAGAACATATGAGAAAGCACTCAGCCGTAGTGAGCTGGTGGGAGGATGGTGATGTATGTCGGGTGCAATTACTACAGTACATATGCATAGTTTATCTTATATCTATTCAATTCAATGTATTCCTTTATAGCCCTAAATCACAACAACAAAACTTGAATTCGCCAACACAGATCAGTGAATCAAACAAAACAGAAACTAGAAATGCAATGATAGAAAGCACATTGGTATTGGTCCATAAGGGGCAGATGACCAATGTCTATAAATGTTGATAAATGTCTATAAATCTCAATAGAAATCAACACTAAATATTAGATCTGAGCTAAAACCCATGAATGCGTATTGTGTGTGGTGAAGTGGAAAATACTCCTACTTATACAGGCTAGTATAAGGCAGGGGTGTCAAACTCATGCGGGTCTGGGGCCGAATAAAAAAATTGTTACCGGTCGGGAGCCGATATTGTTTTTTTACTGTATGATGGTGTTTTGTGAAATATAAAGTTAAACACATTTTTTTTTTTTTATCTTTTCAACTTATATTGATGAGTTGGATTTAAAAACATGCCTTGGTCGCCCATAGCCATCAATGCGGCAAATTAATAATAATAATTAAAAATCATTTTAGGGGCCACTAAAAATTGTCTTGCAGCCCGGATTTGGCCCACGAGCCTGAGTTTGACATGCCTGCTCTAAGGAATAGTAAATTATAATACAATCATTGGGACGTAGTAGTATTTATTCATTGGTTGTTGATGTGAGTCTCAAAGTTGTTCATAATCAATATCCTTATATTAATCGGTTTCAGTAAATAGATAGGATAAAAGTGTACATTTTCCCAAAGAGTTTTAGTTTTTTTCAACACTATATGAAATATGGAAATCATTTGGTGTTAGGATAATTAATATGATCAATTTTATGGTTAGCATTAGAGCTGTAACAATGAATGGATCTGTTTTTTTTAAACAACTTTAGTATTGTTCATGCTGTGAAATGTGATTTTAAAACTCAAACAGAGCAGTAACTAGAACATATGTATCAAGAATTGTGTTCATTTCTTGCTTTTGACAATAACAGACAATAATGGGAATGGAATTCAAACTGAGTTAAAATTTCACATTCTAAACAACTAATAGATTCATTGAAAGAAAATGTATTTAAACTATTCATAATCGTAAGTTGCAGCCCTAGTTTGCAGTACATTTGAAGTAGTAATTATATTTGTACTATGCTACGTCCTTTCCTTTTCACTTTAGCAAATTTTTCATGCGATATTTTGTTTATTTTTCTTTACAATACATTGATTATGTTGCTTATTCTTAAGGATTTCTCTGCTGGATTCCCTTTGTACTTAGACTTCTTGTTCATGAATGTATATGGATATTTCTGTACCTTCTAATTGCCCCCGCCATGGCAGACTTTACATTACAGTCGTATTTTTCGTGCTTTGGAGACAGGAGTTCAGTGTGGCCCGTATACACACACATCATTATAAAGCCTTTTGCACTTAAAAGCAGCGGCAGTGGGTTTGTTGGTTGGTGGCCAGTGTCTCTTAAGAAGAAATGAAAAGATTGATGTTTTTCCTACTTCGAACTGATTATAACAGGGCTTTATTTAAGGAAACCGCAGAAGCTATTAGTCTGAAAGTATAAAGAGCAAGAGGCCGCGATGGTCAACCTCAGCACACCGTCTGTCCGGATGTCACGGATCTACTTTCTGCTCTGCGTCGGACACTTGTTGTCAGTGTGCCATCTTAAAAGTTATTATTACCAACACATGTTTTCCATGTTCCGCACTGGGTTCGTTCTGGGTTGAATTCAACAGTGCAGGGTTTTGCTTCAGTGACTTTACACGGCAGCCTGCACTTCACATGACTTCTTGTGATGATAACAATAAATTAGGAGCTGTTTCTAGCCCTTTCACTGCAAATAATATTAAATTATGAGGTAATAATTGCCTGAATCTAGTGGTTTTTATCTTAATTCAAGTAGATTCTGAGTGTCCTAAAACAATATTTACCAATGGGACAAAGCCATTTAGTTTTATTTCAACAACTGTTACTTTATTTAAGGACTTTATTTCTCATTGCAAGGGAGACATTTCTTATATTGTTTCATAACAAGATTAAAGGAGCTATACCCGTTTCTGCAAGGTTTGAATGTTTAGCACCGCCCCCCAACTCGCTCACAGGCTATTTTTGCAATCTGATAAGTATGCAAACATTAGCATGGGCGCAACTTCTTGTAAGCTGTACAACAATCACTGATGAAATGGTACAAAAGCAACGCACTGCTAACAAAATATATAATTGAAAGAGCCACTAGTTGTGCGTCCGAATGTAGTCTGAGCATAGATAGTCCGAGGCGGTCCCGCTCCCGCAGGTCTCTCCCATAAACAAGTCTCTCCCATAAACAAGTCTCTCCGGAGGTTACGATGTAAGCTAGCTATGTCCACCCAGGCTTGATTTCTTCTTTGATCATTTTTTCGCTTTAGTTCCCTCTTCTCTTCCTCACTGTTGTGTCGTTTTGACTGTTTTGCTGTGTCTGCAGTTACAGCAAGAGGAGTTATAGCCAATTCTGCTAACATGCTACTGTGTTTAGCAGCGCTGTAGAGGCTAGAGGGCGCAGCCTCGTTCTGTGATTGGAGGAGAGCGGGCGTCACCCTAAGTCTCTACTCAGCACTTTTACGGCCTGAATTCATACACAAGCTGAATCAATGAGCTCAAGTTTTCAATTAAATTACGGATTATAATACAACTTGTATGTAGTAATAAGCATTTTTATGAACTCATTAAAAAAAAAAAAATCTGGTATCGCTGCTTTAATTTTGTTTCTCCCATTGGCTAATCTTGTTTTAAGGCAGTCAGAATGTGCTCAATATACAGTAGGAAACATTTGGCCACATTTTCTGATTTATTTTTAATCACTTTTGGCAGTGTTAACATTTACTCCTTGAAGAAAGCAATGCAATTTCTTCTTTTAATGGAGTTGATCAAATGTAGGAATACTAATAACACAAATATCAACACATGTATACAAATTTATGTTTTTTTTAACCCCGATTTTGTTTAAATGATAGGCCTTTACCAAATGGCTGAGATGCAGTTTGATGGTAAAAGTGCCTATTGCTTGCTTGCAATCACGTGACGCATAAACATCTGGTTGACGAAGTGGTGGTCAGGCCAGCAAGAGTTGGTGCTGATATATGAAGAAAATGCGACTCTTCCGAGTATTTCATGACACTTTGAAGCTACTGTGGTGAACGTTCTAACTCATCATTCTAACAATATGCACAAGGCAGAATTTTTCCACTACATGTTTTGGTAATATCAAGGTTGAAGCTACTGGCAGATTGGTAAATGCTAATATGCTAATATGCTAATAAGTCTCCATTCCTCCGCTGTATGTCACTTACATTCTGTAACGTCTTTGTTTATGCTGCCTCTACCATCGACAATAAAACATGTCTTCTGTCTGAAAACAAGATTAAAGACAAGATCCTAGACTGTCTTTTTATTCACTTAAGATTCTAACCCACAGCTAGTGTTACAGTCAAGCTTTTGCACTGCTAAACAAATGAAGGTTTGGATAAACAACAACTGTAACTTTTCCGTCTGTCTGTGGGTTTAAGAACTCAGAGTTGAGGTCCTGAAGGACAAATCCTGCATCGTACAGAGCCGTGTAAGTAACGATTGGTATGAACATGTCATTCTCAACAAAACAATGCTGTGTTCTTTTCAGGTCAAACATTCACAGTGTTTATTTAAAACTCCAACTCATACCTGACAATGAATGAAATAAAGATGGGGATGTAATAACTGAGCATTGTGACTGCACGGCTGGGTAAATAATTAATCCTTAGAGGTAAAAGCGTTTGCTAGTGAAAGCCACTTTTCCTGCGTGTTTTCGTAAAGTCCTTAGTGCGAGGCTCTTTATTAATCTCTTCACAAGGAATCCTAAAGTATCCATTAAAAGTTTCACGATTCGATCGGTTAGAAAACTTAAAACAACACATACAAAAGGTAGATTCAGACACGCTGCTCTAGTGAACAACTAGCTCGGCTGACCACCACTTTGTGATACGCATACGTAATGAGGCGAACGTGACGTCAATTGCAAGCAAGCAATACATGAGATGCCCCAAAGAGGTATATTCCAGTTCCAAGGTTAAAGTAGATTTATTGACTCCAATGGTGATCTACAAAATAAATGAAGCTTCCAAAACTAATCCATGTTTTCTCTCTTCTAACTCAGTTCTCTTCTGTTTTGTCCCTCAGTGGAGTTTGACCGGCAGCTCTCCCCTCAGCGACGGCACCATAAAGAGCTGAAGTTCAACCTGTCCCAGATCCCAGAGGGGGAGGCGGTCACTGCGGCCGAGCTCCGACTCTACAAGGAGTGTGTGAGCCGCGCCTTCCCCAACGACACCTTCCTCCTGAAGGTCTACCAGGTGGTCAAGGAACACCCCGACAGGTAGATGACTGTACTGTACAAACTGACAAATGTACATACTAACATACTGTAAAATACTGTGTCATCTTTTCATTAGATACTCAATTATGATGCTCCCTTTGACCAGTTTTACCATTATCTGGACCTTACATAATTCTGTTTTCTGTTTATTTCTAGTGTCACTTCTCGTTGCTTGTTATTAACTATAATAAAATGTATATGTATATGGATGCTTAAAGCTGGAGTACCAAACCCTCAACCCTCAAAACATTTAACTGAGAGAAATACCTCCTTGTGCTTTGCTTTCTCAAAACAGTTCTATCACGTAAATGTTTTTTTGGCCTCTGTTATAAAACCTTTTTGTTTACTGTATACTAAAGGGTATAGGCATCTATAAGCTTTAGCTTCTGCCTATTACTGCCTTGTTTCAGACCTCATTTCGACCTTTCTTTCCCCAAATGCCTGCAAGTGTTTTTGAATTGTCAAAAATGTAATTACATTTTTCAAACAGAAAAGTGGAAAAGAGAGTATCACCTTCCATCTGCTCTCAGCCTCTTTCTAATAAGATAAATACAGCATGTTGTGGTCTGATTTGTTACTTACACAAACTTTCTGTTCAAAACTAAAAAGTCAAAACCAAATAACGAGTGACAACTGCTGATACTTAGAAGCTGGAGATTATGTTGTCTAGACATTTGAGTACCATTGCAATATAACCATTTATATTGCAATTATTGTTCAATGTTTTCATCATGTCCCTGTAGTTTTTATGTGTAATCAAGATTGCTTCTCCCCTTTTAGAATCCCACCCAGCCAGTCTTACTACACTTCTTTGTTCATTTTATTTTCCTTAAGTTCAGTCAACGTTTTAGCCATTTAAGATTCACAGTATTGTGGAAATATTGACCCTCTGCAAAGATTGAGTAGCTCTCCAACAATGCTGATAAAACAGGCTCTTTTCAACTCTTTTGCTGAAAACAGAGGGCGTTTTGTGGTAATCAGTGCCATCAGTTCACTGTTTGAGTTTTCAGGTTTCTTCTCCAGGTTCAGATCTCGCCAAAACCGCCCTGCACTGAAATAGCGCCGTCTGAAAATCCTGCTAAAGCCTGAATGAGCGCGGCTAATACCTGCTAAACATTTACATTACGTCTGCTGGGCCAGGTCAACATCCAGAGATTTGTGAATGATATTTGTGTTTTTAGGCCTGGCCCAGGAGCAGCAGCTACATCAAAGAAGGCCACAGTCAGACCCTTTAAGGAGAAGGAAAAACAGTAGATTTAAAGATGTCTTCAGGATTTTATTTTTTACTTATTTTTTATTAGAATAGATTAAAGTGTATTTGAGCTGCCCATACGTGTCAAACACCAGTCATGTTTGTAGAGTTCTAAGGTTATTTAAAAAAAGAAGCTCGAAACTTCTAAAAAGGATATAGACACTTTCAAACTCCCAAATCTGGTTCACTTGGGGATTTTTTTCACTTCAGTCAGCTTACAACATTTTTTCTGAATTTGGAAGCTTCATTTTCATCCTGTGAACTTGTCTTCGGGATGTATGGAGTATTCTCCAGCCTTCATCACAGACTCCTCTGATATGAGCTGTAGAAACTGTATTCTCCAACATTTCATATGGATATCCCCTCATGTTTGCAACATTCCTGCTCTGTACAAAGACTGTTTGTCTGGACGCAGATTAGAGGACCACCTGAACTATATCTAAAGATGTTTACTTTGATAAAGTACAGCCCACTGACATGGATGTTTCATTTATGTTCGACTAATATCTTTAGATTGGGATCCATATGAAGACTCCTCTGGAATACTCCTCTGGGAAACTCCTTTGCATATTCAGTCCAGGTTAGGGCTAGGAATTTTGAAGACAAAAAAAATCCCTATTTCTTTCCCTCTTTTGTCCATTGTCAGTTTGTTTTTAGATTTAGAAGCTTTACATCGCTTCATGGGGAATAAACAGATTCACCCAAAATGAAGATTTGTCACAAAATTCAATGTATCTGGAATCTGTGACGTTGTGGAAAACTCAATTAAAATGGTATATTTGCTTTTACAAGCCAAACATTGTGAAAGTGAATGAGAAAGAAAATACTGTCTGAGTTTAGCAGAAAGAACTTCCAGATCTTCCTCACAGCCCCATTATCTGTAGATCTCGATTTTAATGCAGACGTTGTAATCAAGATTGTGCCACCCTGTTTAGTTCTATAGTGCTTTATACTGGAATGCACCAACTTTTTTCCTAACGTAAATATTCCATAAGTAAATATTGCGCAGTGCAGATGTCTCAAACTTTGGCATCTTTTGGTTCAGAATAATTTTAGTCAAAAAGGAATCACTAGAACATAACTTGAAGGGTATAATGACACAACAAAACAAGTTCTTAAAATGTCCGCTGTGGTCTCAGTAAACTAAACATATTGAGTTTCTCCCCTCGTCGTACTGGGATAAAAGCTTTACTCATAAAAGTCAGTTTAATTCAAATGTCATAGTTGTAGTATAGTTTTGCTTCTGTGCAAAAGGTAGATATGGTAAGTCCGTCCCTCTTTCCTGATGCTGCTGTAAATGTTGCGTAGTGACTTTCACAGTCTTCCTTCTAATAATAGGCGTAGTCTAAGCCGTAATGACAGGGATCTTAATTAGTCTGACACTCTTTGTACTGTCGTTTGATTGGGGCGGGCTCGGGAACAGCAGGTGAGGAATGTGAAGATTACAATCCCAAAAATGCGGTGGGTCTGACACAGTGTGGGAAAAGCCAGAGGAGAAACCATCATCTTTAAAACTTACATAAAGCACTCATTTAGTTTGACGAGACATAAGATTGGTCTTGCTTCACATTGCTTTATGTGAAGATAATTGTATGTTTGGGATATTTATACTTGCTCGCTTCCCTCACAGCCATCGTACTCCTGTCCCGAAACCCTATATGCAAAATTTGTTTTAGGACTGGTCATTATTCCAAAGTTTAGACTTGTTTTGTGTTTGCACATGCCTCTTCTGTTGTTTACAATCTGATTTGTTTGAAAATGAGTTGCTAAAGTGCTGTAAAGCGACCTTGTAATGTAAACTTGCGCATCTTTTATCTCCAGATGTCCCACTCACACTTTGCTTTTACAGTCCTCAAAATATGCCTTCTTAGTGCAGGATGAAAGCGCACAAATAAGCCGGCCAGCTGCGAGCCAGTTTTCCACGTCGCCATAGCGTTTTACAGCCACTGACAAGACTTATAAAGGAGATTTACTGTTGCCAAAAACACGGGTGTGACTCCTGACCTTATTATTCCAGTTCATTTAAGCAGTCAGTCAATAAGAGGTTTTACAGGATGTGCCGCAGCCTTGGCCCCTCAGGCTGCTCCTGCTGGGACCCCCACTGCTCCTCCACGGGGGAACAGTGGCAGCGATGACATCAACAAGGACAAAGGTATAAAAATCATGATATCACTCCTGGACCGCGAAGCATCCGAGCCTCCTTGACTTCTTCCAGCGGCATGGATTTTGTCTGATGCTTTCTCAACGTCCATCCAAGAATGAAGCCGGCAGTAAAACATTTAGTCTATTGCCAGTTCAGCCTCCTCCTATCGTTCTCATATCCGGAGGAAAAGCTGTGTAAAAGCATGATGAGCGTGTACGCTTGTTAAAGCTGGGGCTTTATTTCTCATAAATAATACTTTTTATTTGCTCCAGTGTTTTAAAGGTAAAGGTTTGTGAACAGCCGGCGGTCTTCATCTTAATAGAAAACAATTAAGTTAAATCGGACGCTTTGGGCTGAGCTCTGTCTCCTTTCTCCTTTTCTAAGTGACGGTGGATAAAAATACATGACCAACATATTTTCATTAGTTTGCTACTACTCAGATGAATTTGGATATTATACATAGTTCCATTATGTGTGTTATGGATCCTCAAAATTGAGCTCACAATAGCAGGTGGCTTCGTGAAATCATTTTGTCTATAATTTATATATAGGCCTACTATTTTCCTTAATTGGCTTTTCATCGAACATTAATTTCAGTTATAGCTGCAGATATTGCTTGTTTGTATTGTTACACAAGGGAGGCAATTAATGATTTTTTATTTTTTTTAAAGCCACTTTTTAGTCTTATTATCTTATTCCTGCCATTTGTCAGCTCTCTTGACTGTTTATTCCATCGATGTGTGAATGTGACTTTCTTTTGGATTTGGTTAAGAATATCTAAAGAAATGCTGAATACATTTTCCCCTCAGACTTAATCTGAATTTAACTTTAAAGTAACAACTGACCGAGGCCTCGCTGTAAACCTATTGACTAAAACGACTAATCTGATATAAATATAAACAGAATTTCTTATTTGTGATGTATTTTCTCCCATGTGTTTGAAAGCGGCTGAAAGGAAGCGTCACAAACACTATTAATGGTCAATAACGCGGTGCTGCCCACACATGACCGCAGGGGCATTCTCTGCACACCTGGATGATTGTGAGGCTTTGAAGACCCTCTGTCGGGACGTCCCACCACCTAACAATGTGTTATTACTGCAGTAATGAGACATAGAGTGCCCTCTTATCACTCAACCTGTCTGTCTCACTGCACTGGGTTCTGTTTTCAAGAGACCAGAATAACTTTTGCCCGATTTATTTGGTGCTTGCAATAATTGTCAACCGAAATCTTCAAAAAAACATGCTCATACATACAATTAGAAAATTATTAAAAAGAGATTAAATCGAACCATTACTTGTTTATACTGTTGTTGTACAGTATGTAACTGAGTAATACATATTTGAGTTTATTCATGACATAATCCACAAATTAATCAATAATTCTGTCTCATTACAGTTTTTAGCCCTTTTCATGTAAAGTAATAGTAATTTGGATGGTACTAGCTTCATTCCATGTGGTCTATATCTTTACACTGATAACACATGAGATGGTAGCACAGTTGTTTAGTCAAATACATGCTCAGGGTTTAACATGGATAATGAAATGGATAATAATGACATTTACCACCACCCACTGCCAACCACAAAATAGAATGGCGCTATTTTATGAGCGAGTGCTTAGAAAAGCTTGATAGAAAGACGAGAGACAAGAGACAGAGAAGCAGACAAACTTTCATCTCAACCAGAACTGGAGTTGTTTTTACATCCATACATTCTAAAATCAGGAAGTTCTGGCACAAGCTTGTAACTCCCATTTGTCTATAAGCTCCTGTTTCAGTCCATTACTAGTATGATGTCATTGTACCACTATGACATCACACCCAAGGCATTTATCTGCTTTTTAAAACAAAAGTATTGCCCATAAGATGGTTTTGAAATTACAATCTGTGCAATCTCATGGCTGTGTTTGCAGCCGATTTTTTTTTTATTGGGAAAAAAACAAATCCAACTGCTCCCCCAGGTGGTAGCTTGGGGAGTTACATGTGAAAAGCATTGTTTGCGCTTCATACCTTCATCATATATTTCTACTTAAGATATTTCACATTCTAAAGCAATACTAAAAAGCATCATTACACAGTCAATAGTCTGATTATTATTGTTAATGGACAAAACTAATGCATGGTATTCTTAATAATTTGTACTTATCACAGTATAACCGCACTCATCAGTTGTAGCCCTCGTCTAAGATCTTCACACTAACTCTGTAATGATATTAACATGGCTCTCTTTGTACTTTGTTTGAATCTCTTCCTCCTCTCGTCCCTGGGAGAGGTGATTCTGTGGTCAAACCTACAGGGGAGCACAGACAGCAGATCCCAGCATTTCTGCAAACTGCACCCATTCATCTAGCTGTCGTTGTGTTATGATACTGTTGTTACTGTGATACAGAGGGCTCGCCTTGACTTTGTAAAAGAGAGACTCCCCTCTGCTGTCCCGGGACAAACTACTACTCTGTGTTTCTTGGCTCTGGCAGGATCAGCTGTGTCGAGCTCCGTTTAGACCACTGTTAAATGTCCATTTATTTGCAAACCACGGCAATGAAGGCTGTCAACATCTGTGAATAACACTGACATATTTGAGAAATCTTGAATGGTGTATTAAGTGGATAGAATTTGGATGACAACGCGTTATGCATTCCAGAGGTTTTGGACACTAAAACATTTGCATAGATCGATCATGACAACGGTTACATAAAATATCAGTAACATTGCTACAGCCTGAAGTTCTCACGAGGAGGACAACGTGACTTGTGTTGTCTTACAGAGGAGGAAGAATTCAACTTTGAGCTTTTGTTTCATATTCTATTCGTAAATACAGGCGTCATATAGTGGATTCTGTGCTTTCCTCTAGGCTGTACATATGTGGACAGTTCCTCGTTGTCAGGTGCTGCATCAGTTGATATGGCTCTGATGTCATATCGACTAAATCTGTATTTTAAATTTGACCGATATGCAAGACATGCTTCGAGGAACGAGCTTTGTACTGGTTCTCCACCTCTGAGTTTGTTTTTTCCATTTGACAGAAAGATATAGTGTTCCTTTAATCGTTTGTTTCTGTATCATGTTACAATAAAATTATATTGATGCTTTGTGTATTTAGCATCAAGGTTGTGCCATAGTGATATTGGGGAAAATTGTTTGTTGTACAATTTTGATTGCTACTCCCAACTTCAAGGTGCTTTAGAAGCGTTCTCATTGTGGCCATGTCAGAGGATATTTTGATAGAGGTAATACATTAGAAAGTCCAAGACCACTTTTTTTTTAGGCTGGGACATATTCAGTTATTCCAATGTGGTTTTACTTTAAATGGCATTGATCACTGTCTTGATTCTGCATCAATTTTCACCTGGATTAAAAGCTTCTGTTAATCTCCCAGAATATGTGAGAAAATATGTGGGAGTTTAAAAGTTCTGTAACCTCTCATCGCTCATAACCTCCAGCAAAGTATTCAAAGTGATTTCATGCTATCCCTCTGTTTCTTGTGCTATAGGGAGGCAGATCTCTTCCTGCTGGAGTCGCGGAGACTCTGGGCGGCGCAGGAAGGATGGCTGGAGTTTGATATCACAGCCACCAGTAACCTTTGGATCATGAGTCCTCCGCACAACCTGGGCCTGCAGATCAGCATCGAGAGCAGCAGCGGTAAGGGACTTCTCTCTGTTACATCCAGGCCATTTCTATTTCCATATCTTTTTTGTGTCATAACTTGTCTAAAGCTAATCACATCAGATACAGCGCAAGATTAGAATAAGCAGTGCAGGGTGTGGTCATTACTTGGATGGGAGACCACTAAGAATACCAGGTGCCACAGTGGGACGGTTGTGGCTATTGTCCAAATTTCACATTGTGATCTGAGGCAAGACCAAGCCCCAGCGATCAAAGATGGCGCCCTGTTCATACCAATGGCTTGTGCTCAGTAGCGCATGTGCACTAAAGTGTGGATTTAAAGAGAAAACACATTGATTTTACAAGAAATAAAGTTCAGGATGACAAGGGACACTAAAAGCCCCACAAAAGCTGTTCCCTGTCAGTTGAGATGGAGCTGATTTAGTTTACATTTAGTTCTATGGGATTTTTTTCTGCATAGCCCAAATTTAGTCTTATTTAGTCTTCAGTACCACAAGAATCCCCTGAGCCCATGGGTCCTTCAGATATAAGCTAGTAATACCCTATCCACATATTTTCATAGATCCATGGGCAAGACACAAGACTGGCATACCCATTCTAGTGTGGTAACTAATTTGCTAAAACTAGCCACTTTTAGCTTATTTTTTCTCATGATAGAGTCATATAGACACAAACCATTTCTGCATACTGATAGCTTTAACTTTTATGTTTTAAAAGGTATGTAATTTGGCAATAGCTAGAACATAGAATACTTTGTGGCTCTCTAAATAGCCCGGTATTCAATGAGTGAATTAATTATATGTTTTACTGACGTGGATAGCTACTGTATTTAGTTCTTTTCTAAAACGTAGATTTTGAATTGCAGGTCAAAGCCTCAGCTCCAGGGAGGCAGGTCTCGTGGGTCGTGACGGAGCCGTGGAGAAGCAGCCTTTTCTGGTGGCGTTTTTCAAAATCAGCGAGGTGCACATCCGGACGGTTCGATCAACCGGAGGCAAACGGCAACGGCAACAGAACCGCAACCGCTCCACACAACCGCAGGACGGGCACAGAGGAGGCGCCCCCGCAGGTCAGCCCACGACATTACACCATTCTGTTCATATCTGGAATAGAGGGAATTGGCAGCATATGTTGTTCTTTTCTCTGAGATCATTGGATTTGACTTTGGTAATATGTTCCTCTAATCAGGACACTTCAGAAAGATCCTCTCCAGATTGCATGTTCTTTTAATCTTTCAATTTGGAAACAAGGCGCAATAAGGGGGAAATAGCTCGTAATCAATAACAAATCGTCTGAAACCACATTTTTTGACAGGTCCAAAAGGACAAACGAGGCTGTCCAAGAAAGTTTAGTTGGATTTCTTTATGGCATCTGGTTGATCACATAATCAAAGAACTGGATTACGGAAAAAAAGTAACGATAGATAAAATTGCATCTGTCTGATAACTTAAAGCTGGGGTTCTCAAACTTTCTACCTCATGAATAACACCCTCAGTTTGTCGCAACAGAAAGATTCTTCTCAACAACAGAGAACGTATTACAAAAAGCTTTGGGAGTCACGGATCTAAAGACGTGACTCATGCCAAAAAATACATGGATGTGAAAACTAGTGATGGAAGAAAATTGTCTAGAGCCAGGAACTAGTTAGATCGATTTTATTACATACTGTAGTTACATTTTTTATGCTTTGAAAGTTAGGTACCCAAGCTTTAGGAGGGTCTAAGGACAGTGGTGATGACCCAGGACCCTCAATATTCAATGACATTATGGACATTTATTAACATTTATGGAGATTTATGGACATTGGTCATCTGCCTCTTATGGATCAATAGCCCTGTGTTTTCGATCATTGCATTTCCTGTGTCTGAACGGTTTGATTCTCTGATCTGTGTTGGCGAATCGACAGCTTTGTAAAGTCCTCCGAGATAACTACTGTTGTGATTTAGGATTATACAAAGATCAAAACAAATTGACCTTAATATACGCCCACCATGTATCTCTTAAACCAAAAAATAGAGTAACGTTTTTACCACTCCACCCATTTATCTTTCTCCTCAATCCTTCAGATGAAAATGTGTCCTGAAAACCAGAACCACATTCTCCTCTGAGAATATGAACCATGTAAAGTCTAGTCTGTAAATGGGGCCTGACAGATGACCTCCTCCTCTGAACCTCTCTTCATCGTCTCTGCCTCTCGTCCCGCAGCACACATGGTGTAATGAGGTCTTTGCTGCGTGTTATGAGGTCCATCCAAATTAAATCAAGCTCTAATCCCTTCACCTTTCACCTGTTGTGGGCTTTCTGGCAACGACGTCCAGCGCTGGAAGCAGATCCGCTCTTGTGAGGCTGCTTTATGTGTGAGCGTTACAGAAGATATGCTACATAAACCAGAAGGTTATACGCACGAGGACGGGCTAATGTGACCGAGCGTGGGCCAGGAGAAATGTCAGCTTAGGAATACACTTTTGTTTTTGAATAAAACCATACTTGGGACCATAACAATTGGTCTGTATGCTAACGAGCTAACTGTGTGGATTTTATGACCGGGTAGACAAAAAAACATGATTGTTGCCTAAAAATATGTCCCATCAGTAAAACTTGTGACTTTTATACTAATATTTCTACGACAATTACTACTAATAATAATAATACAGAAAACTTATATAGCACTTTGTCTTAAAGAAAAGGAGTCAGAGGCACTCGGATGCAAAAGGTTTCAGTTTGAAATAAGCCCCGTTTTCATCAGGGCTTGTAAGAAATGCCCAGGGGCATGACCACCTATTTACAGAGGAAGTCATGTGACCATAAGTCATGTGACAAACATTAAAAAACATAATAATAAAATAAATACAATTCAGTAAAATATACAAAACAGTACACAATCCTGGTGAAAGACATACAATGACCACTTTCTGCAGTTTACAGTAGTTCTCAAAAAACAGTGTGGAAGACAATTATGATGCAGCGCCCCATGTAAGCCCTTAGAGGGAACAAAAAAAATGTATATTATAATTTTTAGATTTATTTTATATTTTTATAGCACTTTCGACACTCAAAGAGGTTTTACATTATAAATCTGGTTATAAATTACAATTTATAATGCGAGATCCACTCCCCAAATGCATTTCCCCCGCAGTAAATTATGATACTTAAAATGTGTGTAAATTTATCGCATCATATGATTATAATTATAGTTGCTTTGAACTGACACTTTTCCCCCATAATCAATAATAGTTGTTGTCAGTCCCGACAGAAAGAATAAAAGTAATATTTTAGAGATCAGACCAGAACATGCCGTCTTTATCTTATTTGAAAACACATTAGCTAACATGTTATTAGCTATTTTGGAATACTTGTACAAAAGTCCCCAAGTGTGCACCAGACAAATACATAAAATAAAACAAGCTAGAATGGTCACTGCTTCAACACAAGCTTACTGTATATTCAGGTGAGAACATATTTTTGCTTATAAACACTGCAAATAAAAGCCTTCTCCGATCATGACATCACATCAGTCTGGTTCATGTCTAAATATAGCCCTTTGAATGACTCAGAGAAAACGTCGCAGATGGGAAAGCTATCGTAGAGACAAGGTAAATGTGTTTCCAGGTAGCAGCCACTTCATTCATTCAGGACGTGTGTGTCATGAAGACCTGCACTGGCACCGCTCGACATGAACACATACACGGACTGTTTTCCAGCGTTGCTCGTTCAGGCAGGACTCTGGAGTTGTTACCGGAGGAGCTGAGTTGACTTTGTGCAGCTCGTCCATCATGGCGCAGGCTGCAGACAGGGAGCAGGTGTGGAGATTTAAGACCTGTGTCGGAACAAACGCTACAGGACTATCTGATCTAGAGCAGGACAAGTTAATAAGTTAAAGGATAAAGGTTTGAGGATGAAAAACATGAGCTTTGGAAATGTTTGTTCATGGGGATTGCCTCAGATGATAATTTAGTTTTCCTCCTGTTTTGGGATGAATTGCTGTATTTAGAATTGATTCAACATCTGCAGAATCTCCACGTCAAGAGAGACCAATTTTTCTACATGGATTTTTGCAAAGATTTCAGCAACATTTAGTACTGACATCTCATTTACCAACTCAAAGCTTTATTAGTTTTTATTTATTTTATTTATTTTATTTTATTTATTTTATTTATTTTATTTATTTTATTTATTTTATTTATTTTATTTATTTTATTTATTTTATTTATTTTATTTATTTTATTTATTTTATTTATTTTTATTTTTATTATTCAATTTATTTTATTTTTTACATTGATATTATTTCTTTTTCAGGTTCATACAAAATTCAGTGTTTTGACATAAATACATTGTCCTCTTCACCCCTATAGAGACCTGAAATGGAGTGGGAAAAAGTAAGACTTGATGATATATGATTCATAAAGAGAGAGATACATTTTCTTTGTAGGAATTTTCACACTAACAACAAAACTCAATTCAATTACATTTTTTTTTGTATAGCGCTAAATCACAACAGTAATTAAGATAAGATAGACTTTATTGACCTCACACAGGAGAGCACATCTCAAAAACAACAGAAGTATCTTTGAAACTGTAAATCTAGCCCTAACCCTTATGGTAAAACCCCTAAGTCTGTTTTGAATCTTTATTTTGACACGTTCCTGTTTTTCCTGTGAGGAAAAGCCAAGACCGGATCTAAACCTCGCCAAGCTTTCGTGTGCGTACGCCATTTGGTCCCGGGCATAAATACCGGCTTGGCTGTACAAAAAGACTAGAAATGTGTGTTTTGATACAGCAGTTTGATTCACCGTTTGTTGCTGTGACATAATGAATATTGAGAATGAAACTACTAAATCCATGCATGATCTGTCATCACCAAGTAATCAAGAGTCCAGGATCACTTAAGGTTTATATAGTAGGACCAGTGGTTAGGGGTCAGAGGTTAGGGTTAAAGTGATAGTCTGGAACTCTAAATGAATTACACATTTTAAGAATTGTATTAAATTGACGACCTGGCCTTAAATGTTGATATAAAAAAGGTCATTTTATGAATTCTAATATTACGGGTTCCTTTCTCTTAGCTATAGCTCAAAATCGTTAACCAATCAAGTGATGCTAAGGACTGTCAATCATCGCGCTGATGCTCGCAGCTGCGCGCATGCTCAGTTGTTTGTTTTCGCGGCGCCTCCGAATCAAGCCTCCATTAGGCTCTGGAACTACATGAAAACTGAAGAAAGAATTCTGAGCATCCGCGCTGAGTTACCCATTTATATACTGAACCTATATCCATAATCATTTATAAACTGAACCTATATCCATAATCAGATCCTCTGCAGATGTGTGCTATAATGTTCAATCAACGTTAATAGCTACTTTCGGGTTTGCCGCGATCGCTTTTTTTGTGCATTAAAACATTATTTTTGTCATGAAAACGTTAACAGATAATTCTGAAAACCTCTGTGCACGTGTATTAATAATATATATGTATGCGTTCTCCGATTAACATTTAAATGTGTTGATTTATAGTTACGGAAACGTAGGCATAGACCAATCAGAAAGGAAGGGGGAGGGAGCTTGGGTCTTTTTTTCAATTCCTGTACCTCTGGAATTTGGGTTAGGACTAGAACGAGGTTTTGGGTTAAGAATATTGTAAAGGTCGGGGTTATGAGTCCAGGATCATCTTGTGATTCAGGACTGTATATCAGATGGTGCTCAGTCCTCAGTTGTCATAGATAGAACTCTAAAACAGACCAAAGCACCTGTAAGCCATCTTTAAACTCCTCTAGGCGATTGTATTATGCATACCATTAATCTATATCACAACTTTCACCAACTAAACATATCGATGGATCTTGATAAGGCCCCAGTGTTTGATGCCTTTTCCAATTGTTTGTCAGAATCTGTCTCATGTTCCTTAATGATGTTAGCACAAGAGCTTGTAAGTTACTATCCCGCTGGGCTTCTTCTCGGTAATTGCGTTAGATGAAAGGCTGACACAACAGAGAACAAAGCCCGATCATTTGTTATGCTGTGGGACAGTTCGAGAGGACCACATGTTCACATTTGGCTCCAGACTCGTCCACTGTC